AAGGATTTTCTTATAACTCAATCATCTAAAACCACTTTGTTAGTGTCTTAAGCATCAGAAATGATATATACTTTTTCTTCCTGAAGAGCCTCTTTCAAGATGATGGACCCACGGAATAATTGTGTTCGTCAAATAAAGGACATCCCATCTGCTTTATGAACTTGTGCAAAAGGTCACGATACTTATATACTTTTGGAACCAAGCGTGGAAGACGCAAGCTTATATACCACGTTTTAACACTTTATGGAGACTCCTTGACGTTCATGATAGGAACTCAGTATTTGTAAAACGCTCACTTTTTTGATCATACATTATGAGATGGTCTTCCATCGATCCTGAGCATATATGAACATCAAACTCGCTACTTTGATAAAATTTGAGAAGAACAGTTCATGCTTACTTTTTAAATCCCACTGCTGGAAGCAACGAACGAGAAGCAAAACGAAAAAATAAACAAAATAACCCTCTAAAAAGTGCTCAGCAATTATTTTAAGCACGATCTTGTTATCACTTTGTAAACATGTTTAGAAGCTAAACATAATAATGTCCGATAACTTCTATGTTTAATAGCTAAACGCTATCCATTATTACTGTAAATGTTTACAAACTGATAAGAAAGGAGCATTTAGAAATGTGTTTACCCGATAAACACAGTTTTCGCAGTGAAAGCAAAACGCCAATGAAGAATATATATATTTTTAAATAGTTATGAAATCTCTCCTGTATGATTTTTCCAAAAAAGGTGCAGCCCAAATTGTTTCTACTATTACAATTTTCAGAAGTGTAAAAAAAATCATAAAGTTTCCGAAACTGGTTGTCCAAAACATAATTCTAGTATCCCAGTGTTCTCACACTGAAGAATCCAATCATCTAGTGGAAACGTTGTAATTGCTCGTTGAAGGGCATTGGGTATAGATTTAAAAGTAGGAAAAAAATCCTGGTCTACTTGATGTTGGTGCCATTATCGGGGCATATTCCAATTCTGGATATGTCTCTTACAATGCAGAAAGTACAGCACTCGCTATCACTGACTATAGGATGAAACACGCAAGAGAGACGTCAGGGGAATCTGACGACTAAAGTATCGATCACACTAGCAATTTGCCTTCATAGGTTTTTATTATAATTAAGTGTGGTTGAAACGTGATACCAAGTTGTTAAGCAACAACACGAAACTCCTTTGTAAGATACTTCACTGTACTTTCTGGAAATCTTTATGCTTTCGTTTTTGGTTTGACTATTTCACTTTAACAGCTGCTTGTTTGCAGGATTTGCGTTGGAAGAAAAACGGGCAGTCTTATCGAATTGTACTAACAACCCGTAGCATCTCCGAAATGTGTAGGTTTGCCTTACATCCACGTCACACGAAAGCTAGCCTATTTTTATTTAGAAATTGATAATGAAACATGATTATGTATTGATATCTTTAATTGAAAGGGTTAACTTTCTAATTAGCTACAACGTCATTTCATGTCACACAATGCGCTGAAAAACGAGAGAGGAAAAACAAATAATGAAAGAAATAAATGCGACATAATTCGTTCATCGGGCAGAATCTGATGACCTTCAGCAGTGAGGTGTTAGCTGGACCTATAAATAATGGTAATATTGCCGTTCTCTTAATTGGAGGTTGTTCAGCACGCCGACGGTATTTGGTATAAACAGTCAGGCTATTTACCTTTCAACACGAAGTGGAAGCAGTGTACATTGTGATCGATGGAGTCCAGGCTCGTTGAGGAGCAAGGCGGGAAGAGTTCGCGCCACAAATGCACGTATAATCCATGCATGCGTGTTATTTCTGAAGTTCCGCACTTAGAATCAATATTTACGAATGAATTGAATACTTTGAAAGACATTTAATTAATGGATAGTACTGTACATACTTTTACTTACACTGAAAAACTGCCTGGATTGAAGTAACGGTGAAAACTGAAAAAACTCCTACAATTGGCTGATGTGTCGACCCAGTGTAGGTAGAATCAATTTTGAAGGGACTTCTAGTTTAACAACCCCGTTTTTTGGTTTGAATGAATGACAAATCAATTTTTTAGGAACAGTTGGATTGACATGACACATTTTTTGGTAGTTGCGTTTTTCATTCTTATGCTTAAGTTAAAATGTAACCTTACAATATCTCAGTGTATGAATGTATAGCATTTAGAATAGCTATATCCCAACACTGCGGTTTGAAGGAATAGGTCAACAAAGTATTTTTCATTCAGCGACTAGGAAGGAGTTACTCGACTCGGGGTAACCAACGGTGGACCCCACAGACGGTTGTTTCTAATATGGAACACAAGACGATCATGATGGACGCATAATTTACCACTTCACGAACGACTAAAATCCCATTAGCCCTAAGTCAGCACACTTCAGCATGCACGCTTCATCACAACATCTAGTGATCGGTTTAAAGTTCAAGACTTATCCTGATCGCCAGATGATACGCAGCTACGAAGTCAACAATATCGCGTCAGCCACACACTTTCTCGTGAGAAGACAATCTGTTTTGCGCTATCGCCTCTGAAGTTCATTGGGAGATCACTCGGTAATAGAAACCCTGAACGGCATCAGGAAACGGGCCGTGTAATAATCCACATCCATCACACTCTCACCAACAAAAGTAGACCGAATTCCCAATGTTTGTGGGGCTGGATCCATTTCAATATATTGCCACGATAAGCCCACCTCTTCCTCCGGGCAATTTAATATTCCAAAAAGGAGCAAAGTTGCAGATCCCTCTTCGCCCAACAGAGAGAGAGGCTTGGAATATTTGGGCGCTTCAAATGAGGAGACCCAATTTCAACACACGGTTGTGCTCTGGCGAAGTCGAGAGTGAATGTAACAGCAATGAAAGAAATATGCCACCAATAGCAGCTTTTAGATCATTCATTCTAGATGCGATGGTCCTGTGAGTCCTCTTTTCATTTTATTCCTCAACTTAATTATTGATTAAGAAATTTGTCAGAAATACTATTTATGTATCCTGTGGAAACAGAGGGCGTGTCAGTCATATCTGCGAGTCCTTCACGTACATACACTTTGAGTATTTGGAGGCATTTTGTACCGAAACTTGGTAGGCCTACGAATTTTATTTGTGTCTATTAAATATTATTATTATTCACATATGTTGACCTCTGTTTTCGTTGAAGTTGCAGACTGGAAATTATATTAAGTACGTATTGAAAAAAAAGTCAAGCAAATGATGCGAAGGTGAGGACCCTCGATAGGTCTCACCAGAAGAGTGTTCATGGGAGCTCGGCTTGTATGCCATGTACTGTTTAGCGCAAAATTAAGGCTACTGGCAACCGTGACTTGGTGTGTGGGAGCGGAAGGCGATGATGTTACAGCTGTCTTTGGCAAACACGGCACCACGCATCCATGTATTAGATAGCGGTCTGCATTGCCCCTCATTTTTACGGGCGCGAGTTTGACGTCGGTCCCCCCGCGTCAGGGTTCGCGTCTCGGCGAGCAAACTCAGTAAAAGCTGCTGAGCGCGTCACCGGAACACTTACAGTTATTTGCTCAATTAAAAGCGATGGGTTTTTATGAGGGCAGAACCATGATACGAGTGCAGGATAAGGTTCGCGAACTTGTGAGCGGATTTGACGGCCATGTTCAGAAGTTTGTGGAGGTGGGTGCATGCATGTGTTTTCCAGTCACAGGATGCGGCGGTAGTTTATAACTTGAATTCCGATTGGCTGATTTCTTTTAACGTTTTACATGAAATGGATTTACAGAATTCTATGTCTTCCCGGACAATAATTTTGGAAAATGTGTACATGAGTCAGCAAAAGAAGCATTGGATTTCGTGTGAATTATCAGAATGATCATAATAAATTTCTATTTCTATTGATTTAACAAATGATAATCCTTCTTCCATGAGGGTGCATTCAGTCTTTAGCAAAATTTTAAAAAATCGGCCCACAATTTGCCAGGTGTGCTTTGAATTTAGTATAAATGACATTTTTCTTTTAGCTCGAAAGCGGAGACACATGCAATCGTTCCTTTTCACATATCATCAATCTATTTCGCTGAATGTGTAAACCAATTTCTCGTGCATGTGTTATTCAACGCATGTCTGATCAAACACTGAAATCCATTTATATGTTAGCAAAAGCAACATAAGTATGAGGAATATTTGAATAGAGGATTAAATGTTTAAAATACTCAAGATGACTGAACTAAAACATAAGTGTAGCCTATTTCGCTAAGCGTTTGCCCAAATCGCATGATAGCTAAGTGTCACAGTTCACATGGGTTTCCTGAAATATCCAATAATGGCTACCAGTGATATATACGATTGATCTTCTGGATAGATTATCATTTTGATATATCGTTTGTTGCATTTCACATGGGTTTTGTATATCAGAACAAACACACTAATGAAATGATACATTGACCAATGAATGAATCCGTCAAACTTGTATTAATTAAGATGTGTATGAGGATTGCAGACTTTATTTAAATTGAATGCAAAATTTTCAAATTAAGTTAATAATGAAACAAGTTCAATTCAGCCTTGGTCACAATAAACAAAATTCAACGAACTGGATTGCACATTCGTAAAAGGGCCTAATTGGCAATGCATACGTCAAACCGAAAGCCTTATCACGTATTTTAATCCTTTAAATGAAACGGTATGCGCATTCATTTATTTGAATGGCTAAAAATGAAATCGAACTCTAGTTATTGCGAAAAAGAAACCAGGATATATGTCGCTCTGAATTCAGCGCAAAATTGATGTACATTTTACAATTCAAATGCAAATTTTCCAAATTTGTGAGAGAAAACCAATACTACAAAGCAATATTAGATAATTACTTTGAATATTGGATGGGCTCAACTCTGTTTACTGGGTTTGTACTAACATACTTGGTCTAATATTTGGTGGCTGAATAATGGTACAGGCCAGCCTATGTAGGACCTATTATTTGAAAAAAATTTCAAAAATTTGAATGCAAGAAAATGCTGGGATTCATGAAATCGGTGTCACTTACCAACTTTTATGACTGACGGGAAAACACGCCTCTCAGATGTGACAACGCCTTCCAGAATATACATGAGGAGGAGACAGGTTAAAGCTATCCACTGTGGTATTTCCATGGTAACCAAATATACAAAATACCACGCAATCCTCGGTACAACTGTTTGCCCAGCAAGTGCCTCCAACGACAAACAAAATTTAGCTCTCGGGAAAGGAACACCGTTCAAAGCATCTTCACGTCTGTTTTACACGAAGAAACTGATTTTGCCGGTAGTAATCGCACCAAAGGTGGCTCTGTTGTCATTCAATTCATAACGACATCAATCCAGATCATTCCCATATTCGAAAATCAGTTCGCATCTCCTTCGTGTCCACCAGTTTCTTGAAGAAATAAAAGTTGAAGGCTTATCTTCAAAGAATTATTTGATGAGGAACTCCTGTTTCTGTGTGAGCAAGCACAGGCTGTAAAATACAGATTGACTCGTGGAAATTTCAACTCCAAAAGCACCTAAATAATGAATCCTGTCAAAGCATGAAATGACAAAAAATATGCCGATATAATAAGGTTATTAAGAACTCTACACGGCGACATCTTATGGATTTGGTTGCAGTAAGGGAAAGCGACACGCCCATTCTGGTGGCCAATCTATCCGTCCATCTCTGCCAATTACCCGTGTCCCTTGTGTAACCAGACGCCGGAACTTGTCGGAGATGGCACTTGCAAGTAACGCAGCTGACTACACGCCTCTCAGCTGACAAACTAACGAGTGTGTCCCGAGCTCATATGCCAACGAAGACCGTGGGCTCGTCTACTGCAAATTAAAACCCCGCCAAAACCTGAGAACACGACTAGTTCCCAACCTTGCCTGAGATTCTTGAAGTATGAATCCCCGATCGTGGACAGACGCAGAAATTGTTCCAGTTACGATTACTGCTATCCTCCAGCCATCACACCGAATCATTCCTGCTCGGTCTGGTGCGTAACCTTTCCGCGGGCCAGGTTGTGAGCACGCCGCTCGGCAGTCGGTAATTAGCGACGAAGTTAATTACACGGATCAGACGGGGCGCACACCAACTCCCATCCCTTTAAAAAAAAAGAGAGAGACGAGGACAGTAATTAGGAGTGAAGTATCATCACCATCCAAGGAATTTTCATCAATTCCTTGTCAGAATCCCAGTTGGTGGGGAATTCTGGCAATGTGAACAATTCACACAAGGAGGTACTTTAAAAAGATATGAGAAAGCGAATCGCACGTTTCGTGCAGCGGGCGTGTATCGCACCGACAAAGCGCAATATCGTGTGTGTGTGCGTCAAGAGTGCTATGGCAGTACACGCAAGAAATGTGATTCGCCGTGAGACGAGAGCTGTGATTGGCCAGAGCGGTGAAGAACACGCGCAAAGACATTTTCATTTATCATAGCCATATGGTCATTGGATAAGGGATGTCCCATGATGTGCTAGCACAAGTCTGTCGTTTCGGACAACTTTAGGACTCACGGTCCCTGTCCACGACGGAGATCTCAAACAATGTATGGGTGTTGTTAAGCGAATACAGCCTGAAACTACTTGCAACTATAACGAATTGGTCATTCCGCTAGACAAGCACATTCTGGGTAGTATTCGGCCATGAAGACACGGACTTGAAAATCCCCTCGTATAATACTTTCTCATAGCCTAGTATTCGCGAGATCGGGATGACGTCACTGATTCTTAATTCTTCTCTCTGATTGGTCAATTGGTGGCTATTCCATATTTCACACTCAAAACTCAAAGGGGCAAAAATAGTGTTTCGGTCTATGGGGAGAATCTGAATTATTGACTAAACTCTTGACCTTTACATCAAATGTGCCTGAAATTTCAATATTTATGCGCTGTTAACATCTCCCACACTGTACTGAAAAGGTCTTAGTTATTTTTTTATCATATTGCTGCAAAAAAGAGGAAATTTGCAAATCCTTGTAGAAAGTGAATGGAGAGTTGCCCCTTTGTCCAGACGTCGAATGCAAAAAATGGAACAACCGCCGACCTCGAGAATTCTTCTCGTTGAGCAGCATTGGCGCTTCAGATTTGGGCTGTTGTTAGTCACCATTATAACAAAACTGTGCTATCAACAGTTTTTAGAACACCCCCTCTGTAAATTTTCAAGGAAACAATACAAGCATACAAATTTAATGGTAGGTGCATGGGCTTGCAAACAATGCTCAGTGTACCTCGAAAAGAAACAAACTTCTACCATGTACGTTAATTTGCACATGCTTCCCTGTCAACTTTTAATTGGAGGTCGGCAGAGCGGGACACTCAGGGGCATCCGGGTGTCACGTCAGATTTTAACGCAAACACTGTGTCTTCTTGGATTTAACTGCAGGCATATAAATTGATCACACGAGCCCGGTGTGAAGAACCTAATACCGCACTCAGAGAGAGAGAGAGAGAGAGAGAGAGAGAGCACTCGGCGGCCGGGCAATCTAGCGGGTACAAAGGGCGATCATCGACCGGCTACTGGCTAGGTTTACCCCGGGGGAGACGGACTTGTTTTACGCCTATCTTGGCATGCCTTGCGGTGGGATAAGCCTGGGTGGGAATGATCGATCGTGTAGAAGCAGTGATGTAGCCATTTCGCATCTGCTACAAGGGGGAGAAACTTCATATTGGCTTTATGATTTCAGAGGAATGCTCGAGAAAAACAAAACAAACATGAAGTGGACACCGAGAAAAAAGGGGGAATGAACTGCTCATAAGATATAATAAATTCGTGAATGGTCGAAGGACACACTTAGAAATCTTTCAACTCATGAAATGTCGGAAGAAAAACTGTATTTCCATGTTTTAAAGCTGACTGACTCCATAGTGACGTTGAAGGAAGAAGCTCAGCTTTTATTATAGGTTGTTTCTTCAGTTCCGGTATAGGCTCTGTAGACCATTGTGATAAAACGGAACGCAGAGCTGTGATGGTGACCTTTTTTGGAAGGGGACAAGGTGATGCTCAGTACATTAGTCTCGTTTCTATAAGTCTTTGGGTATTTCAAGCCTACCATAGGCTACAGGTCATAACCAAAACATAACGCGACGAACACTGAGTGGTTTTCAATGCGCCGAACAGCCGCAGGATGGCACTGTGACAACATTTCCGCAGAGGCAAAACTCGAACCTGATTTTATTTTTCAGCAAACTAGATGGCCAAATCGATCACAATAATTCAATGTGATGAAAACAGTTTAAATTTGGGGGCGGGGGCAATTTTTTTCGGAGGCAAACAAAATTGTTGATTTCTTTAAGCGATAATGACATTGCTGAGCTGAGGGTGAGGCTCAAATGGAGGGACGTTTCAGAATGTTTTGGGCAGAGAGAGGGAAATTAAATATTCCCCCAAACTGCGTTTTCCTCACGGTCTTCGCCCCTTCCCCACGATCCGCCATTGCTGCCTAAGAATGATTGCAGTCAAATTACGATACGCAAACGCTAAACCACCGAGAACAGTTTACTGAAAGCTTTAGAATTTGCTCCATTTCTTTGGTCGAAGGTACGAATTTCCTCATTTCCATCACTCTCTTTGCTTCTGAATTACCTTCACGATTTTCCACCTAACCACGTTCGACATACATAGCCAAGCCGTCTCCACGCTGCTTCAAATAATTCAGTCATGAAACGCGCGAAATCCAATAAAGCCGTTGATTTGGCGCTCTGTTGCCATGCCACACGTTTCCCGCCACTCGGGCCCGTTCTGTTGCGCAGTATATGATGCTATCAACCCCTCGGATTACCGATTAAATGTCAATCCGGTTAAATCGAGATTGTAAAGGATTAGCAACGATACGGTACGGCCAACCGGTTCAGTAAACATTTATTGTATTCGGAAATGACAAGAGTGGGTCTGCCTGCATATAATTTTCCGCAAAAAGTCGCTCGAAATATCAGGTTTTTGCCTCGTGTTAATTTTGTTTAACACAATTATTAGCCAGTGAGAGTTTTGATACTTTCTTAAGGGCTTGATTGTAGGCTTTTGGGACGGAACTTGAAATACTTCTTAAAACAAGTTACAGATGTAACAAATAATGAAAACGGTGATTCACTCAGAGGTTTTCAGGACACCACTGATTAACAAATCAACGACCTGTCGACTCGTTCGTGCATTGACGTACTATAACAAACAAGCACCCAGTTTTAAGATGGTAATTGAATTGCGACATTTCGCAATCTGAGAAACGGACAAATTCATGCATTCATCTCAGTTTTTAGGAAATGTCAATAAATCAATGGTTGTTTCCATTTTGCCGTAGCAAACAAGTTTAGCGGCATCCGGCTGACACATTTCCACTGGAGTGGCGGCAAGATGCAAAGGACATTTTAAAATCCCACGATCCTATCGGGACATCTTTATTCCCTCTCATTTAGTGGGAAGCATTTCTAAAAGGAAGGCGGGATGATTCCCCCATAGTGCCTTGAGGTTGTATTCTCACAATTTCTTCACTCTAAAAAAGAAAGAAATTGTACGTTGCTCTTCTAAGTACTTTTTTATCCACCGTTGATAAAACTTTGATATCCACCTGCTTTCACTCCTTGTGGGCATTTCCTCAATTTTCACCTTTTTAATGAAAATCGACAACATAACGAGCCTTTCACATTTTTTTTCCTGGGCAAAAAACTTAATTGTTTCTTTCACTAATCATTTTTGATTTTCCAATAAAGTTGTAAAAGCTGAATTTGGGACATTTTATGCGCATTTTGGAAGGAAAAGAAATAAATTGATACATAAAGTAGGCCTGTCTCTTTTTTAAAAAAGGCTAAATTTAGGACGGGCCATGGTCCCGCCCTCCAACTTTACCAGTGATGCAGTGATGGGATTTATTACGGCCACAGTCCATAGAGTTTGGGTCTATACAGAAAAAAAGAGGGAAGTAAACACCACCAAAACAAAAACTGGAAAATTGCCTGTACAAACTCGCTCTTGTTTGTCTATTTTATCATTCTTTTTTTTATAAAATTGATAGTTTTACAATAATCAGAAGGATCTGGTGTAAAAAAAAAAGCAGTTATATCTGCAAAAGGAACTTGCATCGTGGGAATTCAAACCTTGTATACCGCAGTTATCAATATGCATACTTTGGCTTTCCGCGGATCTGTTCAGCCCCGCATTGCGTCATGAAACTTGCGCCGATCCTCACCTGGGGCAGCTGTTGTCGTTTATTGATGTCCCTGGACAGCTTAATTGGCCCCGTGGACCTAAATCACCCATCGAAAGAGGGGGAAAACAGCAAGTCAGTTCAGGGAGGTCGAGTTTTTAAAGCATGCAAAATAATGCTAAGAGCTCTTCCTGTTTCACACATGTAAACTACTGTCGATTGCCCATGTGAAGAGTTGGCAACAAAGTTCGTTCCTCAATTTGTTGATTTACATTGGTTGGTTGTGTACGTGTGTCAATTTCTCTCTCTCTCTAAATAACGAATTTTTGAGTTGTGAGGTTAACATCATATTCCATCAATTTCACTGCTATTTTTAAGAAAGGCAAAAGTGTGGTTATAATTCATAAGAATAAGGCCGTATTAAACTTTAATCTTGTATCTGTGGAACTCTTAGGTGGTCCTTCATACGCTCCTGTTGCCTTGACAAAACAACAGAGGGCGCTGTTTCAAATATTCGTCATAGACGTAATCTGGCAGAGTATCGGTAACGTTACAACAGAGAGTACTAGGCTGCAAAATTGACTCAAAATGGCAAATATTTCTGCCGAAGGAATAGCCAGCAAGTTGAAAGAACATCTCCAAGCATCACATGTTGTGAGTCTGAAATTCTAAGGTCTTGAATATTATTTTGTGTGTCCCCGATGGCATCTGTTCGTTCCATGCATGTTTGTCAGGGTTTTAGGCCCTTAACCGTGGGCGTGCTCACCAAAGGGGGGCGGGAGGTTGTGGATAAAAATGAGAAGACCATTTGAGGGACTAAACTTGAATCAATTTTCAAGCAAACACAGCAAACAGAATGAAACTCCAACTTTCATGACTGTCGTAAGGAATAGCCAGAGAAGTATCCACCGAAGGGCCTTTACCTCTCGGAGCTTGCACAGCTCACCACGTAGTCGAGTGAGGAGGTGATACATTTCTTCAAGTTCTTCAATTTCTTGAGCAGTAATTAATTGCACCTTGTCATTTTGTCCATTCGGAAAGGGGTCATTCCATGAGGTTGGGCACAATTTGTGACGGTGTCCTTGTTACATGGGTAACTTTACCACCTTTCATGACCTGTAGAGTAGGTTGTTTGCTCTGTGAAAATGACACATTGGAATCCACATGCAGGAAAATAGCTGTTCAGTTTTACAGAATGCACGTAACAAAGGACACCGTCACAAATTGTGCCCCAACCTCATGGAATGACCCAAAGATAAAGTTTCATTTGAGGACGTCGCTACTTTTTTCCTACAGAGGTATCCAGAAAGCAATAAATTACCAAAGAGGCAAATTTAGCATTGAAAATATTGACATTTAGTTGGGGAATATTTTGAAATTTTCAGACCAGTCTTTCAACGTTTGTGCACTGGGTGTCAGGTGCTGCCCGTGTGGGGAACTCTGTCCTGTCCACTCCCCGAACCCAATGAGGATTTCTGTGATAGCCATGTTTAGTCTACTTGTCTGGGTTTATAGAAATTTCTCGGCCATATTCATGCAGGCCTATCTCCATCATACTCCCTGATCTATGGTGTTGACTATTCCACAGAGCAGCAAGCCGCAGTAATTCCAGGGATAGTATCCACGTCATTCAGAAACCAAAGTCTTTGTGCGATACGACGGCTTATTTACTGTTTTCGTTGTTCAATCCACCAGGAAATGGTTGATGAATCTGGGGGTTGTGGGGCCAAGTTTGCTGCAGTCATTGTCTCCGATGTCTTCAGTGGTAAACCTCTTCTACAGAGACACAGGTACGAGTCTTCGTTCTTCTCTGTCCTCAGACCTCAGTAATCAAAGACCGATATGGGCACAGACCTGTTTGAAGACAGACACAGTCATTAGGATGGCTATAGCCATTTGTACCTTAAATGACAAGAACAAGTTGTGCACTCTTCAGGGTTTCAGTTGGCAAATTTGAAGTAACAGTCAAAGTTTCAGCTAAATGTACTAATATTAATTTGGAGCCACCAACTGAAGTGCTGTAAGTGTATACAAGTTTTATCTCCTCGGTCACTCAGGATCACGACCAAAATTTATAAATATTTGCCATTTGGCAAGAATAGTAAGTGACAGCTTGAACCCTGACTCCCTGCGTAACAGAGATGCTTTAAGCAATTTTATTGGCCCAGTGAACTGGGGTAATAATGGAAAAGTGCCTTGAGCCCCAACAGATGGTTATTTGCGTGTTACAAAGATCAATCCGTACGTGTTCCTCCAAAGAAAAATCTTGTATTCTGGGAAATAACCACATCAAATACATGTAGGTATTGCCATACATTATGAGGTTTGTATTTGTACCATTGATGTACATTCTGATGTTGGAATGTTTGACAGACCGGCATATGAAAAATCTAAATATTGTTGTTGTTGTACGTTATTTATTTTCAAAGTTTCACAGTAATTAGAACAATCTCATTGTCAAGCATTGTACTCCCAGTTAGAATTTTATTTCTCTCATTTGAAAGGATGGTTAATGAATGTTTGGCTGAGGAACTCAAGATCATCCATGCCTTCTCCATGAAGACGTTAACCCCAGAACAGTGGACAAAGCAACAGAGTAAATGACCCAGGCTTACGTAGTGGACTGCTCGGCTCAAAGCGAGACAACTAACATATTTGAAAGAAGCTGCTCACCCTCAGGAGTTGGCAACATTTTGAATGACAGAGCCTGCACTGTCTGAATAGATTTTCCCATACTTGTCTTGTTGGATGACCTTTGCTTGTATAAGTTGAAGGAATGTATTGCATCTGTGTCCAATCTTCCACAGGGCCAAGATTTCAAATATCCAACTCCAAGTCCTTCAGGACTGATGTGGCTTGGAGGTTTCTGAATCCGTCAGATTTCCAGCTTTACACTGTCTGCCGTCAATCATTGGCTCACTCTTTCTCTGCAACATCAGTCCCGTCTGATCAGGGGACAGTGGCTTGGCCGTGCACATCAATCAGTGTAATGCAAAATTCAGGAAAGGACGTTGATGGGCTTAGTAGAAGAAAGACTTTTGAACACAGAAGGCCTGACCGCATGCATTTTGAATGATTAGTTGAAAAACTTAGAGGGCCTGACTTCTTGATCCTTGCAGAATCTTTCTAGTTTGGGCCGTTTTCCAATACTCAACTTCGTCTCCGTCTCAGGCTTCGTTCCAAAAACCAATCCCCAATTGTGGGCCTGAAGCGTTTGGATTACATTGGATTAAACTGTAATTTTTGGCTTTCTTGTGTCTTATTTGATGTTCTGTGGCACTATTAGACTGATTACTGTGCTTACAGCTTCAACGTCAACTAGTATAAAAACAGTTGAAGCCTGAGACGGAGCCGAAGTTGAGTTTTGGAAAACGGCCCAGATTAGTGAGTGCCTGACTTACTGGATTGTACACGTTCATGGATACTTCTCAAATACAACTACAGTCAACACTGATAAAAGAGCACTCTGCACCACCATGTTTACAGCAAGGACAATTTTAAGTCATTGTTTTTCTTTGTTTTCCAACACTGATAATAAGAGGTACTTGATATAAGAGGGAAACTTGTAAAGTCCCAACGACCTTGTTGCATCAGTGTGTCTCTGTATGTTATTTGACATTATGATAAGATTTACCAATCAGTGTTGACAAGTATAGTTTATTTTTTAAGATTTTCATATAGGCAATTCAAGTCTTGCAACGGAACATTCTTTGCAATTTATCTTGAAAGCTGTGGACAAAGAAATTGTTCAAATCCTAAAGGTGACATTGGAAAGTGTCATTCCATGAACAAGAAAAAACAGAAGTTTAAATATATGAGACTATTAAGCTGAACCCAGCTTACGAAGTAATGCATGAACGGCCTCTTATTTAATCTATTTGCATGTGTGAGATCAATTGTAATATGCCTTCAAGGCATTGAGGGTCATTCATCTGGTGTGCCAAATTTTTTTCCTTGAAATAATTAGATGTTTTCGGGGACAGTTAATGAGGTTGTTAAAGTGCCGGTGCGCCCGTTCTCTTCACAATTATGCAAGGCTGTGTCTTCTAGAGATTCAATCGGCTGTAAACTCGGCCCCTGAGGGAGGGGTCATAATTTAATAGTTTTATCAGGCAATATCTTTGATTGCCAGCCGAGGTTTTGTAGTCTTCGAGGTCAGTCCACTCTGATTTATGCAGATGACAGGCCCCTAGCTTCAATGTTAACGACTTGGGCTGATATTTGATTTTAATTCAGACTCAATCAGGTATGAACTTTAATCAGAAATGTCATGAGTAACACGGTTATCTCAGGCATGATTGACTTCCCTGAAAGTGGTGAAATATTTTCATGATGCAAACTTGTCAATCTCCTTGCATCTTGTGCCAAAGGCTGTATTATTTAACACGCTGCATTGACCGGGTTTTTTCATCAGTCAGCAGAAAATTTAGTGCATACCAGGAACATCTGCTTACTGTTAGCACAGCCTTCCATATGATGCAAGCTATGCAGTGAAGGGGGACCCCCCCTCTGTTGTGTCTTCTTTTGTGTTGATGGAATCTTTGGAATTCCTTTCAGATTTCCAAGGGGGGTACAGTAGGCACAATAGCCTTAGGGTATACAGCTTGCGCCTTACATTGGGGGGTGACCCTTTACCACATATTGTGGAGGGTATTGAGCATTTCTGTATCAACACTGTAAGCACCAAATGGGATTTAAGCATAGATTTACACTAGCAGGGCCCTGGTTTGCAATTCCTGGAGGAAGTAAAAATTATGACATGTCCTGCAGGGGGTAACCATGGCAACCATAAAATATGTTCATTTTTGTTTTTAGCTAACAAGGCCCAAGGTGTTGTGAAGCATGCTCTAGGGTTTGTTATAAAGAGCAAAAAGTGATAAAACCTGGATTAAACTTGTCAAAACCATGCATTTTGTGTAAAAAATCCTGAAATCTGGAAATACTGTGAGAATCACACCTAAGTCACAACCGTGGAACAGACCGGGCCTTACAAACATTACCTCTCTTTAAAGACAAGTACTGACTCAGCGGTGAAATCAGAATCCAAGACCATGGACAGATTAAAACCAAGTTTTGCCATTTTTTTAATGCACTTTGAAGCTAACGCTGACAACATGTTATCACTACAAGACAGTAACACTCAGTTACAATAACATCAATTAAATAATAATGTTTAATATGTGATTAGATGGAGGAATTTTAGAAATTTCAAAATAACAGTTTGACCTTTAGTATGGTGTTAAATAGAGAGACTGATAACGTGCGAGAGAGTTTATCATGGCTTGGACCAAATATTTACTTCGACGACGAAGTAGTTTTGTTTTAGCTTTTGTGTGAAAAACTTCAATCCAGGTTTTTGACAAAATTCTCAGGGTTATTTTCCCAACGATGTTAAACTGAAACAACTTGACTTCTGACTTCACTTCAGATGTTCACACTTTTTGAATATTGATGAGATTCAATCCCTGACAGAATTTAAAGTCATGCTGTGAATACACGACATATTGCAGGTAGAAGTTTATGTACTTGCATTTAACCAAGCCCTTGCCTGATGGAAGATATTTGCTAGGTTAAATACCAAAATTAAACGGAACGGACATTATGAATTTCGAGGTTATACAGTGTGCTTCACTCACTGAATGAACCAGCGAAAAATACCCTGCTGTCTCTCTTGTTAAAAAAGGACATTTTTATAAAATATAGCACCACAAAACAAAAATTGACCCAAATCGTCGACGATCTTCCAAAATCCATCAGGAGGTTTTTAAGGATTCTGTAGGATTGAGGAAGGTAGAGCCCAGCTGCTTTTACTATACGTGATACTTGATACACTTGAAAAAAAGAGAATGTTTTTGTTTTTTAGTTTATTTTGCTTTTTTGTAGGGAGTGGATTTTGGAATATTCCGCAAAAAAATGTTCTGGGCCTTTGGGTTACAAGCAAAACCCAATTAAAACTTTCAGTACTGTAGGGATAAATATGACTAGCACTTTCATGAAGGTACAAATGCCTATTCTATATTGAAAAAAAAAAGATTAATTATATACTGACCGATGGGAAAGTACATTACAAAAACAAAACAAATTTAAGCCTCTTTTCGTGAAATGTACATTTAAAACATGTACGGGATGTGATGCCTGAAAAACAACTGAACTACGTTTGCCCGACCCTAACCCCCTAGGGTGTATGTGAAATCATATCGAAATCGGAGCATTAAGGGCAGGGGATAGCAAACATGATAAGAAATGACAAAAGTATGTGTCAAGGCTTGGTGTGTGCAGTGAAAACAATTTCCTTGTAATTGCTTCAAGTAGGGCCAAAGTAATTAATAAATGAACAGGATTATACAAAAGCAACAGCTATTACTGAGCAAAAGCATGATTACATTTCAGAAATGTTAACAGAAAAGTATAAAATATTACAGAATACGAAAAGCGTGATTAAATAATCTTTAAAATGGCTTAGACAGTCACAGTACTGTACATGTTTGTATGCAGCTACGCATTCTTAGTTGCTACGACACCCAGATTCTAAGACAAGTTGCTACACATCAAGAGGCACGTTTCAGTTTGCTGTCAAGTCACGTGGTCAGAGTCACAGTACGATCCTTGAATACTACAAGGCCAGTTTTCCTCCATGGCTTCAACTCTTGACAAGTGGTCTGCGACGAATGTTGTCCAACAAGGTTAGGGGGAGATCTGTACTTTTTTATTTTACTTGCATAATGAGCTCCTGAAATCATACCTTCCTTCATCTGTTGAACAAAACCAACAAACGCAAAGTGGGACTGGTAAAAAGAGAATTCTGAACTCAAAGGAACATGATTTATAGAAAACCAACACTCATCGGTTGACTTTCAATCAGCCTAGGTCTATTTGATTAAGAAGAGCAAATGGATCCATCTCGGATCAAGTAAATGAGCTTAAACTGCAGGCTTGTAACCAGGTCACGTCAATGAGCAAGTTTGGTACTTCAAAAGGCAAGTTCGTTCGTGAACCAAATACGCATGGAAGTGGCTGTATAAATGCCCTGATAGGGTAGACCTCATGCATGTTAGTATTGCTTTTTTTCAAATGACCTCAGATAGGCTTCATTTTGGGCATGCGCTGTCGGAGCACCGAACTTGTTCACGATGGATCATCCTTTTCAAATGTCACTGTTCAATTCTGTGAATCGTGGACTAAAATACAGGGCCTTTTGACTAATCGGACCCCTTTTCTCTTTGACTGACCAGTCCCCACTGCGAGTCTGCTCTTCTCAGACGTCAGCATTGGATGCTCCTTGCTGTGCCTGCATCTGGGCTTGCATCTTAGCTAGCATCTCTTGCATCCGTTTCAGCTGCAAAAAGAAAGAGGACGTATTACTGCCAACTCCTCTTGTCACTTCAAACAGCGTGAAGACCTACTGCCAAAGGTGACCTGATCCGACATCAGCCACGTCTCAATTGCTTGGCTATGGCTAGGAATAATGCACGAGCCTATGGACTCAGGCAGCTAATGGCTTCATCCATTTCCCATAGGTTGCTCTGCTATTGACAGCCACAGCCACACACATGCATTAAGCGGCAAGATTTTGTCGCTTCGCCTATACTGAGAATGACCCCTAAAACCCACTTTGTTTCTGGTGTGAGTTGCATGTCTCAACTCCAAAACCCACCTGTGAGATAAACAATGCATCCTGAGTTTGTGAGTAATTGCATGCTGAGCTGAGTCTGTCATTAGGGTTACCAAGTGAGGGATGAGTCTTTCACATACCTCATTTTCTTTCTCCTGTAGCATCTGGTCTTTGTCAGAGATATCGCCTCTCCTAGATCACAAAATAGAGCAGTGCAAGTTACACATTGCCAAATAAGGATCAAAGTAACATGAGACTTGTCTGATGACTTACAATGTCCGATGAAGCATGGCTCTAAAAGTTGGTGGGATTGGCCACAGCCTCAACAAATTTAGTTTACTGGTCCCATGAAACAAAGCACCTTGTTTTGATGTACCAAAAAATTCTAAAATAATCAGAAAAACAAAACACAAGTTCTCAACCATCCACACAAATATGAAAAATTCCCTTTGACACTTGTCAGAATGTTTCTTATCCCCCCGCAAGCAAATTTTTCCAACTGAATACCTGTGAAATGCACACTGAAGCTTACCCATGCCAAATATTCTCGGCAATTTCTAATGGATTTAATCCAGAACCACAACTGATCTTGGCCTATGTTTTCAGTCTGCACCCGCATCACTGGTGATGACCATAGCTGAATGGCTGAAGCATGGACTCCAACCATAACGGCAAGGCCTATTTATAAAGTGCAAGTTTCCAGATGTACTGCTTTTCAATGTGCTACTACCCTCGTTTATCATGCCATGAGACCAAGGCCATTTTCCAATATTCGACTTGGGCTCCATCTCAGGCTTCAACCGTTTTTTTTACTCCCTGACTTTGAGGTTGTAAGCGCAATAGTAAGTCTGATAGTGCCACAAAACATCGAGGAAGATGCAAAAGAGCCAAACATTACAGTACTTTAATTTGAATTAAACGCTTCAGGGCAACATAAGAGATTTGATTTCCTACATGGTGCCTGAGACGGAGACGAAGTTGACTATTGGAAAACGGCCCAAATTCAGCACCCAGTATCAGTGCATATCAGCCTCTGCCTGGGAAATATTCTCAGGTAGAGTAAAGTAGGGGTAAGTGACTTGCTCAAGCCACGACTGGTGCCAGCCGGATTCGAACCCCCTACCCTATGAACGGAGGTCACAAACCCTAGCCACAAGGCCACACATTACTGCATTACACATATTGTTGAGATGCTGAACTATCGATGTAATAGCTAGGGTTAACAGTAAAGCCTAGTTTCCACATTGATGTGAGAAATACAGAGGGCAACGCAATCAAGATGCAAACTCCAACACAGCCATATGGGAACATGTCAAACCAAAGTATCGCTAAAAACCCAGACATATGCAAACCAACTTCAGACGGATCGGCAAAGTTGAGCCCGGTTCAATTTTGCCGACTCTCTGCGTTGAGTCACTGAGTAGGCCTATACAAACATGCACGCTGGCATGACGGGCGTACAACGATGTTTCTCTCGCTCAGTACCACTCATGTTGTCCATTTTCTCCTTATTACTAGCATATGCAGCTCCAATCGTCAACAAAATAGTTGACCATCAAAAAATTACATCAAACTGGAGGCGACATTGCCACCTAAAAAAGGCAGTTTTCAAAGTTTCTGACCCTATTTTGTTTAATTTTTGGTGGAATGACATCGTGCAGCGTCTCTTCCACAACTGTCTGCCTCTTCATGTCTTGCGGTATGTGGTCGACATTGGTTACCACCACATGGAAACCAGGCTGTACAGTTATAACAACTCCTAAAGCGAGGCAGAGCTCCTACCTGGGTGGTGGGGGAGCACGCTGGGCTGGCCTGCCCGCTCGCAGATCCTTCTCCCCGCTTCTGGCCAGCTTCTCCGAGCGGAAGTTTTCGTAGTGGACCTCGTGGGTGACCTCCTGCAGATCCTGCATGTGGGTGCTGCAAACGGACAACAGGAAATCAGCACATTCCGTAGATAAAATTACGGAAGGGTTCAAGTAAAACTTTTGAGTCCTGCAGTTGAATTCTAGTCTAGATATACATGTACACCCTGTGAAACAATAAAGCTAACTCCTCGGGAACATTCTGCTTGTAGCTTCCTTGAATCTTGCAAATTCCTCTATTGAAGAAAAAGAATGATGCAGTCTTTGTACTTTTACTCTGAAGCAGCATCAAGCCCCCACATAAACAAACAGTGGCTGGGCTCTACCTCCCTCAATCCTCAACAACATCCAGATAGATTTTGAAGAATATGGCAGGGTTCGGCTTCATCAGTGATTACAAATGCCAGATGTATTTTTGAATTATACCGTCACATTTTCAAAAAAGAACAGGCATGTCCAACGGATAAAAAATACATTGTGATTTTTGTTGGGCCTGAAGCTTTGATGCAACTGCATGAATTTTGTCCTAAGATTGTTAACAGTTACAAAATCTTAATCCTCGATAAACACTTAATTTGAATTGGCAGCATATTTCAAGCAAAGAACTTACATGAGCATACTACGGAGCTTGATGAAGTCACAATGGTCCGGGTTCTCAACTACAAAATTAAACATCGACATCAATTGACACATCAAGCAACTGACATCTTAAACATCAGAAAGTCAGCGAACTACAGACTAAAATTCTTTTGATTTTGAATGCCTTCATTCCACTCCACAATTAACTCTCTGCACTGCTGTGAACAGACCTTATT